GGGGTCCCCGCGCGGCGCCGCCTCGGCCCGCTCCTCCGCCTCCCGCAGCAGCAGCGAGCGCGCTACCGAGGGGCTCCTCTCGGCGATCTTGCAGCTCCCGCCGGCTCCGAGGTCGTGGTGGCCCGAGCTCCTGGCGCTCCCATCTCCGCCGTCCCTGTCCGGAATGACGCGGCTCCTCCAAAGTCGCCGCACCAGCCCTGAGCGTTTGGACCTGAACATACGACCCGCGGGCGGCCGGGGGGTCGCGTCGCTCTCCGCCGCTTCCCCCCGCCCCGCGCCCTCCTCCGCGGGGCTCCTCGCTCCGCCGCCGGCTCTATCTCATGGCAGCCCCGGCGCAGCCCGGAGTCCCCGCGGCGCTGCCCAGCGGCTCTCGGAGCGCACCATGGGGGGGGGCGGCGGGCGGCGCGGGCATAGACGGCGCCGCGGGGGCCGCTCCCGTGGCGGCGCTGGGGCTCGGGCGCGCCGCGCCTGCCCTACATCGGCTGCCAACGCCGCGCCGGGCGGGGAGCGGCGGCGGCGGCCGGGGGGAGCCCGGGGACACCCCGCGGCCGCTCCACCGTACGAGGCTGGGGGAAAGGGGGGGCGGGGGGGGGGAGTGGGTGGTGGGTGCCGCCCGGCGCCGGGGTTCCCCCTTCAGCCGAAAATAGTTAAAAATATATAGTTTAAAAAAAATAATAATAAAAAATGGAGTAAGAAGTAGGAAGAAAGAAAAATGGGAAGAAAAATAGAAAAATGGGAAGAAAATAGGAAGAAAAAATACTAAAAAAAAAAAATTAAAAGAGTTAAAAAAATAGTAAAGAAATTTTTAAAAAATTAGTAAGGAAAACAGTAAAAAAAATAGTAAAAAAAAATCCGACAAAAAATAACAGCAAAAAATTTAAAAAGGAAAAAAAAAAAAGAAAAAGCAGGGGGTTTAGAAAACACCCGAAGAAAACAAATCAGGCACGCGAAGAATCAGCAGCAGCAGCAGCAGCAGCACAAGCACAGCGCGGTGTCAGCGCGGTGTCAGCGCGTCCCTCTCGCCCGCATCGCAGGGCGCGGCCCCGGCGGGTCCGTGCGCGGCTCCCGGGGCCGCCGCCGCCCGCTCGCGCCCGCCCGCCCCTCGCCGGCTTTTGTGTGGCCGGGGCGCGCGCGCGGGGCCCCCTCGCGAGCGGCGCCGCCATTGGCTGCGCCCCATCATGTGCCAGTCTAGACGGCGCGGCGGCCCCGCGCGCCACCGGCCCCGCGAGCGCGCCCCGCCCCGCCACCGGCCCCGCCCCGGCCCCCGCCGCGCCTTAAAGGGCCCCGCCGGCGCCGCCCCGCGCACCCGCGCGGATCCCCGGGCAGCCTTCCCCAGCGCCAGCCCCGCGGGGGAGGGGGGGGGGAAGGCCACGAGGGGAATTGGGTCACGGCGCGGCGGGGGTTAACGGCGCTCGCCAACACCCTCCCCCCTCCCACGGACACGCCTCCCCCCCCCCCCCCCCCCCCCCCCCCCCCCCCCCCCCCCCCCCCCCCCCCCCCCCCCCCCCCCCCCCCCCCCCCCCCCCCCCCCCCCCCCCCCCCCCCCCCCCCCCCCCCCCCCACGGAGCGGCGCCTCGGCCGCCCTGCCGAGAGTTCAGGCACGCCGCGCCCCCATTGGCCCGCGCCCGCGTGACGCGCGGAGCCGCGAGCAGCCCACTGGTGAAGGCGCGGGGGAGGCCCCGCCCCCTCCTCCCACCCCGCGGTGCCCGTGAATGGAGCGGTGCGCGTGGGGTCCGCGGGGACGGGACGGGATGGGGGAGAGGGGGATATGGGGGGATGACAGGGACAGGAGGGTGGCCCCGCGGAGGGGGGAATCCCACCCCACGCGGCCACGGCGAGAGGTGCTCGTGGTGAGCGCAGTGTGAGCGTGGGACCCCCCAAACATCCCCTGGGTGGGCTCCCCCCTAAACATCCCCTGGGTGGGACCCTCCCCTAAACACCCCCCCGGTGGGACCCTGAAGTACAACAGACCCTCCCCTAAACACCCCCCCCCGGGTGGGACCCACGCCTAAAAATCATCCCTGGTGGGACCCTGAAGTGCAACACACCTTCCCCTAAACCCCCTCCCACGGTGGGACCCTCCCCTAAACAACTCATCCCCCCGAATACTTCCCCCAGCAACCCCCTGCCGGTATAAAATAAATTAAACACCTAGAACAGTGATTCCCACCCAGCCTGAGAACTTTGCTCGTGAGCAAAAATAAACCTGGGCAATTAATTCTCCATCAGTTAAAGGAAAAAAACACCCCAAAACCAAACCAATAAAATCATTTCAACCAACAAGCCCTGGACAACCTGAATGGTCGGGGGTTTTCTCTTGGAGTCTTTGTGTGGCATTTTCCATACCTGAGGGCTTCTGCCTAAATTTCTGTCACGTTTCCCCAAACCTGCCCTAATACACCTAAGAACCTTATTTAAATATGGATAAAAACAGTACTTTTTTTTTTTTTTAATAGAAAACCTAATCAGTGTAATATTAGGGATCCCCAAATACCCCATTTAGAATCAGTACTCTGTGTGCCACCGAGGTTTGCACCAGCACAACTGCAGTATGAAATAGGTCCTGTGACTTTGGGGTCACTTCTGCAACTTCTGACCTTTTAGGACCAGGGGCAAAGCTCCTTTTCCCTGCCATTTTTGGGAGGGGTTTGAGGAAAAGTGTGGTTAAAAATGTAAAAAAAAAAATCACGTCAAACCTGTCAGGGACCTGCTGCCTCTGCCACTGGGTTCCAAACTGCTCTGGCCAAGGGACTGATGGTCCATCCAGTGCTGTCCCACTCCGATTGGCTCCTGCCTGGAGTAGGAAAAAACTGTGAGTAGACTCAGGTGATGCTATTTTTGGGCACTCACCCACTTCATGTGGAAATCCTGTGCCGGGGGGGCTCAGACTCGCCCACCCCCAGAGCAGCCACATTTCACACCTGGACCACGGTTTGGAGCCCCTGGCAAAGGTCACCCAACATCCCACTGGGGTGGAAAAACGCCTTTTTTCATGGTGAGGAATAAAAGCAAGTGAAAAGACTGGAAAAAAAAAATCAGCTTCAGACATGGAAGCAGAAACTGGGATTTCCTGGATCTCATGGAATCACAGAATGGTTTAGACTGGAAGGGACCTTAAAGCCCATCTCATTCCACCCCCTGCCATAGGCAGGGACACCTCCCACCAGCCCAGGTGTCCATCCAACCTGCCTTGGACACTTCCAGTGATGGCTCTTGGACCCAGACGGGATCCCTGCCCACCCTGAGGCTGCTCCAGAGATGTTCCAACGCTTGTTTAAAATCCACACTGATTTCCCTGTCCTGCATGACCCCAGGATTCACCTCCCTAAACGCAGCTGATGCTTTTCTTCCCAACGCTGTCCTCACAAACTGTCATCCAAATTATAAGATGCCACCAATGTGCAATTGCCAACATTTAAATATATATAAATCTTAAATATAGCGCTGCTTAAACCAAGGGCAGGGTATTATTTCAGCAAGCAATGTCCCACTGCTTATCCAACGCTCTATAATCATGGATGTGCTCCATGGCAGGAAGAACAATGGAGCTTTCATGGGATCTGGAGCAGCCCAGCATCTCCAGGGGCACAGGTATGTGATGGAGTCCCCATTCCACCAGGAGTGCCATCCATCCCGGCTCCTGCAACAACAGCACATTGTTCCCTGCTCTAATGTGGGCGAGACAAACAGAGCCCTCAATTGTGCTTGTCACAATGCACATATAATTTATAGTAATGTTGGTTATTAAAGGATTTCTAGTGATTAACAGCAATGTGCTCTTTCACTGCCTTTCCCCCCACCCCCCTCTTTTTTTTTTTTTCTCCCTGTCTGTCATAATAACAAACATTCCTGGGAGATGCTCTGGAACACATCCTATAGGTCTTGGCAGAAAAGCTGGAGAGAAGCTCTTGAAAGCCTGCCAGTCTTATCTGACATGGATCTCCCAGGTACTATAGGAAGCCAAATGCTCCTGGGTCCAGGAGGACTGTGGGTGGTCAGGAGGGCACTGGAGCCTCTTCCCAAAGCCAAACTGCAGCCAGGATTGGGGGGAAAAGGGACCAGCCCTGCCACTGTGTCCCCACCAGCACCCTCAGCACCATCAGCAGAGCCCAGACTTGCAGGCACAGGCTGGGGGTGCTGCAGGTTTTCAGGAAGGAAAATCAATTCCATCATTTTCTGCCTTTTTTCTTTTTTTTTAAACCTCCATTATTTTGTATATTTCTGGGCAAAAAGAAGGATGCAGGGGTTAAAACATAAAATTAAACCATGAACAAATGAAAAGCAATATTTTCACAAAATGAATAATTGCCACTTAAATAATGTTGTAACAGCTTGATTTATAGGTTATTTTAATGCCTCGAAAATGGGGCTCAATGCCAAGGGCTGGTGGAGGCTGGGGGGACAAACTGCACCCCCATTTCACTGCCAGGGAACAGGAGCCCAACCAGAGAAACCACCACGAAACCGCAGTGCCAGAACTGCCAAAATCTGAAATGCCTCGTAAAACCAGGCTGGCTTTGCTGGCAGCTGATTTTGAAAGGAACCAGGGGGAAAAAAAAAAAAGAAGTTTTGACAACATCAGAATGTCCCGTTTCCTTTGTTTTGATGACATTGCCGCAGTTTTCCAGATCAGACCGACTCTCTGCGTTTTACTCTTGCAGATGTAACACTCTGAGCAGTAACAGGCTGTGATGGGACCTTGGACCCTCTTCAAAATGGAAAAAAGCGAAAATCAGAACAAGGTGTTTTGATAAATCCACAGTTAAAACAAAAAATAATAATAATAATAATAAAAAAAAGACGTTTGAAGCATTTTCCTCCATGGAGAATTTCCCAACTGCTGGACTCCACATTCTCAGACCCCCCCCTGGCTTCTTGAAACCCTTCCTGCAGAGGGTGGGATCTCACCCAGCACCTCGGCACGTGCCCCCATCCAGGGTGAGCTGCAACCACTGCAAAGCCCATCCCAGTGGATGCAGCCACTCAGGGATGCAATCTTTCCTGGGATGTGGAGTCATAAAACAGTTTGGGCTGGAAGGGACCTTTAAAGTTATGGAGTTCCACCCCCTGCCATGGGCAGGGACACCTTCCACCAGCCCAGGCTGCTCCAACCTGGCCTTGGACACTTCCAGGGATCCAGGGGCAGCCACAGCTTCTCTGGGCAACCTGTGCCAGGGCCTGCCCACCCTCATAGCCAACAATTCCTTCCCAATATCCCATCTAACTCTGCCATTCCCTGTGTCCTGTCCCTCCATCCCTTGTCCCCAGTCCCTCTCCAGCTCTCCTGAAGCCCCTTCAGGCCCTGGAAGGTGCTCTCAGGTCTCCCTGGATCCTCTTCAGGCCCTGCAAGGGGCTCTCAGGTCTCCCTGGATCCTTCCCTTCTCCAGGTGAACCCCCCCAGCTCTCCCAGCCTCCCTGCACATCTCCTCCCCGAGAACCTGGGACACCTCTTGCCTTGCCAGGAGATGCCCATTTTGGTGCATTCAAATCCCAGCCCAGTGATTATTTTTGCCCTGGCACTTTTCCTCCAGGTGGGATCAAGGTTTCTCCATCCAGTGGTTCCATCCAAATCCCACCAGATCTGGTGGCGCCACGGCAGGTGCTGCATCTGCTGCCCATAGACCTCGGGGGGTGAATTGAGGCCCCAGCAGCCAAATTGCTCAGGGATGAGTTGAAATGAAGTATCCTCCAAAACTGATCAGAACCAGGAAGGAGGAAAAAAAAGAGACAAAATCCAACAGAAATTCACCAAATGCCACATTTCACCAGGAATTAATGTTAATGGGTTAATGGAAACTCCACAAGGCAGGAGCTGCTGAGTTTCCAGGCTTTTCAAGGCCCTTCCCACGAGTATCTGCTGTGGGTGGGGACAAGCTGACTCACACTTTCCAGGGCTGTAGTAACATTTCAACACCCCGGCGCTCCAGCCTTGGGGACTGATGGCAAAAGAGCACGTTCCCAGCAGAGGGGTTGGGAAGTTCTTGTGACAAAATGTTTTCTTGGGTCAGAAGCATGTCAGTTTGGCAAAACCAAAACTGGTTTGGTTGTTGGTTTTGGTGGTTTTTTTTTTTGTTTTTTTTTTTTTGTTTTTTTTTGGTAGCAAACTACCAATTTCCACAAAATGCTGCTTGGAAAAGTTTTCTTGGGAGCAGGCCTGGATTTCTAGTCAAGCCCACAGGGGGAAAATCACCTCCCAACTGGTCCTCATGGGTGCTGATGGCATCTATCCATGGTGATCCCCATCCCAGGACAGGCCCCTTGCCTGGAGCAGGGACATGGACTTCTTTAAATCCCTTCTAGGTGGAGCTGGGTCAATTTGTATAAATAATTAATCAGTTATTCAGGGAGAAAGAGTCCAACTTTAAGGCTGGAGAGGAGAGCCCTGATCTGAGATATTGGGTTCAGCTCCCTGGTTTGGGGCAGGACAAACAGGGATTGAAAACCACAAGTCAGGCAGTGCCACGAGTACAGGATTATCCCCTGTGCTGCTGCTCTCATTTTTAGGAAAACAAACTCAAGCCATCCCAGAAAAGCCCTGCTGCAATCCAAGGAAAGCACTGGTGTCTCAGGTTTCCTAGGACAGGAAGGCTGCCCTCATCCAAACCCTTTGCCAGCCTCCACAGCAGAGAAAAGTGTTTTTCTCCCCTTAATCGAAGATTAATTTTTCCCATGGGAGAAGAAGCCAAAGGGACACCTTGGCTCTCGGTCAGTCAGAGGATGACTGTGCCAGTCACACAGTGAAACACGAAGCAGGTGGAGCATCTTCTCCTGTCCTTCCCAATCGTGCTGAAAATCCCATTTATGAAGACCAATTCTCTCTGAGCAGCCTCAGACACCCTCAGAAAATCCAGAGTCACCTCTGGATGAAAGGATGAAGAGCTCCATGACATGTGGAGGCCTTCCCAGGAGATATGAGGAAGGTGGTTGGCACGGACACAGGACTGCCATCAGACCTTCCGTGTTTTCCCTGATGCCACTGACAGGGATTTTCTGCGTCCTTTGGAATGGATGATCAGGTAAAATGAGGCATGTGAGTGCAGAGGATGAAGGCATTGAATCCCAAGCCTCAATCCAGTGCTTTGCCCAGGAGGATTTCCCACCTCGTGGTGATCTGTGAGCCTCCAGTGGATCCCAAAGGTGTGAGCACCGGGATCGGCTCCCGGGACTCGCACGGGGAGGCACCAGAGTGAAGATCCTTCCAGTGGGAAAGAGCCCACAAGGAAGGTGGAGAGGGAACTGGGACAAGAGCCTGGAGTGACAGGACAAGGGGGAATGGCTTCAGACTGACAGAGATGTGGGTTAGGTGGGGTATCAGAACGCAGTTCTTGGCTGGGAGGGTGGGCAGTCCTGGCACAGGTTGCCCTGAGCTGTGGCTGCTCCATCCCTGGAAGTGTTCCAGGCCAGGCTGGATGCTGCTCTGAGCAACCTGGGCTAGTGGAAGGTGTCCCTGCCCGTGGCATTAAAGATGATCTTTAAGGTCCCTTCCAACCCAAACCATCCTATGATTCTGTAAGATGGAGAAGGGGATGGGGAAGGAAAGTCCCATCCAGCCACTCCAAGGACGATGCAGCCCCTGAGGGTGCTGCAGGAGGGAGATGGACATGCTGAATGCAGCCACCCCCCTGCATGACACCACTCTGGGGATTTCCAGACCCACAGAAACTCTACATCTACCTCAGCCTCGTCCCTTCCTTCCCCAGCTGCAGGGGGACCAGCAGCCACCGAGCCCCTCCTGTCCTGCTCTGGCTGGAGGAGCTGAGCAGTATCACACAAATATCACATAAACCAGCTGCTCTGCTCCAAAGGAAGGGAATTACAACCAGAGGAGCCATCTGAAAATCACACCACCCCTTCACAAACACGCAGGAGTTTGTCCTTTTATCATTTATTCAGCAGCCTGTGGAGACAGTCTGCCTTTCTGGAGCCTTTTCCAGGCAGATAACACCCAGTTCTGAAACTGCCCTTTACTTTTCTGTTGGCTTGGCTTTGGTGAATTGTCATTTTTGAGCTGGAAAGGGACTATTTGAGTAAGAAAAACAGCCCAGCTCTGTGTGCTGCCACCACGCTGATCCAGCAACAAACTGTGGAATGTGCCAAGCCCGGTGTCCTTAAAAAAAAATAAATCTCCCCCTCTCCATGTTTACCCAAACAATTTGCAAACACAAAACTGGAAGTTCCCCGGGTGGGGGGAGGATTAAGAAAAGGATTATTCTATTTGGAGCTAGTCCAGAGAGCAAAGGGAGCATATGTAAAAATATATATAAATGTATAGGTCCAAAATGGATTTTAATTGAGGTTTGTTGTGTCCAGTGGTGTTCTGCTGCAAGAAGGAGCTAAAAACACGGTGGGGCTGGAGGAGAAGGGAGGTTGACATCAAAGCAGACCTGAGAAAGGTCAGACCTAAATGGCAACCTGTCCGTTTGTGCAATAGTTTGCTCTCCTATTTCTGATGGTATTTTCTGGGAAGAGCTGGTCGGAGCCAACTAGGGCAGGCTTGTAAAAAGATAATTTTTTTCTCCCTCAGAAAACACGAAGACAGACAGACTGGGCTGCTGGCTTTCCTCCCTTCCCAAGATCTGCTGCCCTGGGCAATTTGCTGTGTTGCAGCAGCTCTTTGCTGGAGTGACTGAGTGGCGTCTGGGCCGCCCCAGAGCAGACGCCAGTCACTCCAGCAAAGAGCTGCTCACCACAGCTTTGGTAAATATTTTCTGCAGTGGTGCAGCAGCGTCTGACAGAGCAGCACTGTTATTTCGTAGGCATCTCCAATAATAACTCGGGGAGAAGCAGCCACAAGACATCAGCAAAAGCTGCTGCCACTGACCAGAACTTTAGAGAAGCAGGAACAGAAGTGGGAAGAGAATAGAAATAGTGAGTGAGTCACTGGCTGGAGAGGCTGAACCCAGCAAGGGAAGATTAAAAAAGACAGGCTTCAAAAGCTGGTCCCGGGACGCTTCTGCGGGATCGGCACGCACTGCGCCGATGCCTCCCCAAAATTCCTGCAACCTCAGAATGGGGACATGAAAAATCACTGTGGGAGAAAGAGAATGTTGTCTTCGGCGTTTTGAGCCTGGACCAAAGGCAGCCAGAGGCACTCATTGCTAAAGAACCAAAACTGCATCTCCTTCCATGTTGAAAGTGTGTTTGGAGTGTCTCTGCTGGCAGCAGGATCCGCGGGGCTTGCTCAGGCAGAGGGATGTGGAAATAGAAAGCAGGATCAGGGAGGAAAGGAGCTGACCCTGAAGTCATTGGCACTGCTGGGTGTTACTGGGAGCAAATCACCCTTAAATAGACACCAGGACACAGCAGGACACAGTCTGGCCCAGCAGTAGCACAGTTGTTGCTTAGACACCCAGCACAGGCTTTGCTGGGAATGGAGATGGTGCTGGAAGCCAGCTGGGTCTCCAGGGAATCTTCTCCATCCCATTGCCACACCACGGAATGAGAAAACCCCTCTCTGAGCAGGCACCCTGAGGGGTTGGTCCTTCTGTGCCTCAGACTGTGCTGAGAAGCCGTCTCTGTCCAGGAATCTGCTGGCTCTGACATCCCAGGCTGTCGGGAGACGATCAGAAGCAGCAGCTCCTTCCCTGAGGCTCTGGGGGTGCCAGCAGCACCTCTCCCTGCTGGGAGCCATCCTGGCCACCAGCAGGGCCTCACATGGGCATGCCAGGCAGCTCTGGGGGTGCAGGTCCTCTCTGCAGACCCCTTTCCATCCTTTGGGCACCACGACTGGGGTTTTCCATAGTTGGACATGCATTTATGACACTGAACCCTTCCACTGGTACTTTGGGGAGCCAAGCCCTTGGAGGGTGTGACTGCTGCAGCACCTTTCACCTTCCATGGACAGTTCCCAGCCAAAACCCGACCATTATTTACCTTCTTAGGTGGGTGATGACCTGGGACCACCCCTCACCATCCAGCCTGATCCATCACCCTGGCCCTTGCCCACCCTTCCCAAATCCAGCCCCTGCTAGAACCAACCTGGCACAGGGAAGGAAAACTGACCTGCTGTCTGGAAACAGCTTCCCATGGCCCATCAGGCTGTCCTGGAGTAATGTGGGATGAGAAGGAGAGGATGGAGCGCTGACAGGAGCAGAAACTTGGTGATGGTACCTGACAGGAAACAAATTTTATATAAGGTGAGTGGGTTTTAGTTCTCAGCCTCTTTTTATTCACTGGTAAATGATTGACGCTCAGTGAGCAGATGTGGTGAACCGAGATCAAACACGTCACGAGAGAGAGAGGAAAGTGTAGAAGAGCTTGGCTGAGTGAGGGACTGGGTGTTGGATCTGCAGGAATCAAGTCCCAGTAATTCTTGTCCCACTTTTCATGGGACCATCTCTCTCTTTGCTGAGCTTCACCCAGCCCTGTGGTGGGAGGACAGGAATCATTGGGAAGGAAAGACAATAAATTGTGCTGCATTAAAGACAACAATCCCCAAAGCCAGGTTAGGACCTGCCAACACGTCCCAAAGCCACCTGAGCTGAGGGCTGTGCCCACATCCCTCCTGGTGACATGAGGTGTGTGGCAACGACCCAGATCTCAGCGAGGACCATCCCTGTGCCCCCCACACACGTGTTCCATGGGCAGGACCACAGGGTGACACGAGCCATCCGTCCCCACATGGGTTATTCCATCGTCATCAGCCAAACAACAGACGCTCCTCCTGCTCGGAAAGCCAGGGTGGCGTTTTTATGAGCTGAGGTTTCCTCCTCCTCTTTTTCTCTTCCCCCCCCCTCCTTTTTTATGGCCTTATCCACAAATGCTGAGAGCCAGAGGGAATTATTTGTTACTTACATTAAAGCAAGAGGCCATCAGACCACAGCCCCACAACCACTCCCCCTATCATTATTTTCTTCTTTTGGGATTTATATGAAGCTCATTATTAAACTTTAGCTAACCCAGACATCCTAACAATGCACCCAGTGCTAATAACTGCTAAGCAGCATTATTAATTATTGTAATTACAGCATTTAAAATCTATTCTGATGATATTAAAGAGAATACTTTCCTACTTTTCCAACCAACAGAAAAAAAAATCCACAAATGTAGCTTATTAACACTAATTCTATTCTTATTGGTAAAACTATTGTTAGATTTCAAAGGCAGTTGGTCTGGGCCCTAAAAAATAGATCCTGCTGGGATGGCAGGGCATGTTTCCAAACTCTGGTGTGGCTTAGCTGGGGTGGCGAGTGGAGGGAGCTTGGCAAGATGAGGAATTCAAATTCTGACAGCACCCAGTTACGAGGGGCATAAATCTATAAATCCATGCATCCCTCTTACAAATTACATCCCCCCTATAACTTAGATCCTCCCTAAAGCTGATTGCAGTGGCGTCCTTACAGGTTTTGGAGAACCAGGATCACCTTTCCAGCGGGAGGTTACGCACAAAAGGTGGGAATAGGAATGGCAGGAAGCACCTACAGGCTCACCTGTGGTGAGCTGTGGGCACAACACAGGGCTGGGATCCTGTGACAGCCTCTCTCACCACTGCCCCTTGCTCTGTAAGGTTCGGTGGAATTATTCATGCTGAGCCCAGACACCCAAACGGCCACACAGACACCGAGCTGCACTTTTAATTAAAGATGTGCCGAGATAAAAAGCTGCAGAAAACAATTTTAAACAATTAAAAATAATATTAGAGGTGTTTGTCTGCCCGATCTGCATGTGTCCTGTGAGCGGCTCAGGGGAGGCTGGCTGCATTTTTACCACGGTCAGGACTTTTTTGGAGCGATTCCCTCCGCTCCACGGGCAGGATGAACCCGCGTCCAGACGTCTCTTTTACTCCAAAGAGTTAAGATTTCACTTGTCAGGCTGTTTTTGTTTCTATTCACATGTCAGTGCCTGTCATTTATTTAGTCAATGGGACATGTCCAAGGGATGGAGACAGACTGGGTTAGTCATTCTGACCGTGGGTCGCCAGTCACTGCAAACTGCCTGAGGTCATTTCCAAAAGCGCCACTAACAATGAGAGGGAAGCTGGGCCCGGGAGACCTGCAGGAAACGCCGTGGAGATTAAAGACAGAGATAGTCCTTTGCAAAAGTACACTGGAGGAATGTTCCCTATGTTCTGTCAACAGAGTTTCTTCCTCGCTCAAGACTGTCTATTTTAAGTCTGAGCCCGCACCAAAAATGGAAATCCTCGCTCCATGGCTATCAGTGGATCTGGGGTTTCTGGGGCTGCCGCAGCGCCACGGCCGAGGAAATGAACCCTCCAGCCCGGCTGGAACAGCTTCAAACAATCCCTCCTTGTGGCAGCTCTGTGCTGGTTAAAGGACAGGTTGTAAAAGCCAGCTGGAGCCCACGGTACCGCCCGGCGTAGCCTGCGAGCATCGTCCCCACCGGTGTCCCCCAACATCCCCTCCCCGCTTACCCCCAGAGCTCAGAATCCCAGAATGGATCAGCTTGGAAGGGACCACGGGTGGGGTCACCTGGTCCAACCTCCCTGCTCAGGCAGGGCCATCCCAGAGCCCACTGGGAGCAGCATCTGGGCCCACGTGGCAGCAGAAACCAAGCAGGGCTGCCAGGGCCACAGCTCAGGCTCCATCCACACTCCCAGCACTGCTTCAAGGGAGGGACTGGAAAAGAAGTGTTGAAACGCACCCAGAAGTATTTGCTGCAGCATCTTGGGCTGAAAAGGAGCCCCGTGACTGCAGATTGGGGGGGGGGGACGGGGACGGGAAATTCCTCTGGTCCCATCTGGGCATCGGGGCAGGGCTGAAACACAAGAGCAGCTTTAGGGGCAGAAATGCACTTTTTAAGCAGAACAGTCCAGGCCACTCTTACTTAACACACAAGGTACCTCTGGGTGTTTTGGAAAACATTAATAACAACCACATGATTGGTGTAAAAGGCTGATTTTTCCATCCAGACACACTATTGTTTTCAGATAAATACATTCCATCGAGCTTTTTTTCTATCTGGACTTTCTGCATCTGTGGCTTTTGCATCCCAGGCACATGGGAACGGGGGTTTTGACCACAGTGGTGGCCCAGGAGGAGCCACCAGATCCCACTGGTTTGGGAATGAGGGACAGGGGCTAAACTTTGCCCTTGCTGTGGGTACGACTGGTGAGGTGGGACAGGGGCTGGAGGTGAGGAAGGGTCAGGAAAAGGAGCTGCACAGTGGATCTGAACTGCTCTGCAGAGATAGAGAAAAGCAGAAAATGCATTTTTTTAGGATGCAAACATCCATCAGACACACACACACACACACACACACACACACACACACACACACATGAGAGTATCCAAATTCCTCAGCGTGGTATTTACAAAGCCCATTCGGAGACACAGACACAGGCCAGCTCCTGCAGATTTTTTTTCCACGTGTCATTAAAGATTCAAATTACAGGGGCAATTTCGAGCCTTTGAAGCCCTTGGTGCTGGTGCTGCCGAGCCCGGGGGCTGCTCCAGGCAGGGTCTGTGTGTGCTGCAGCCCGGAGATAACGCAGAGCCACCAGCGCCCAGCCCGGAGCCAGGAGCGGGCCAGGAATGACGTGAGGAGGCACTGGGGGGAATTTGCTCAGCCTGCAGATAAGGAAAGCATCCTGCTCTGAGCACGGGGTAAACAACTTTTAATACACAAGCGAGTTATCTGCAGAGTCCCACGGGAGGAAGCGGATCTGGCCGAGGCCCCGCAGGCTCTGCCGCGCGGTGTGACACGGCACGGAGCGGGGACCGACACCCAGCCCCGGAGCTGGGGAGCCCGGGAGGTTTTGGGGAGCCTGGCAGCTCAGGGGTGCTGGGGCCAAAGCCCAACCAGCTTGCACAAAGGGAGGGAGAGCCATGGATTTGCCTCCAGGAGGAGGAACGGCGCTCCTGGTCCTTGGTGGCCTTGTGGGTTGCACAGGTAGGGCTCGAACCACCCGAATTAAAGTTCACCCAACAGTTGGGCAAAATCAGAAAGGCTCCAAAAAGAGACTTACAGACTCCTTCCCAACACAAAACTGCCAACAGCAATCATTTTCCCCACTGATTACTCAAAAGACTGAAGATCAGGTGTGTTTTCATTGATAAGGCCAGGAGAGGAGCTGGACAAGGCCAGTTGTCTCCGCACGGCATGATAAGAACTGGGAGAAATAACGAGATCACAGCCACTCCCCTGTGCTCCTTGGGTAGCTGCAGGTTCATCTCTCTGCAGAACAGAGTGCTGGGACCTTGATGAGCATCACTCCCAGGTGGCATCTCTTTCTGGGGCCAGGCAACTGAGGGAGCAGGAGGAGCTGCTCTCCAGTTCAGAGCCTGATTTACGGCTGAGGCCTCAGGGAAAATCACTGACTGCCTTTGTGGTTTCATTTCCCCATCTCGAGAATCTCCTTCATGGGTGATGTGTGAGGGGGAATTAACAGTCAAACTTTGTTTTCGATAAATATTTCAAGATTTGCCTCGTGTTTTATGAATATTTCTGAATGATCTTCCTTGCCCTTGCATAAGGGTCTCTCCCTGCCAGCTCTTTAATGCCTGGAGTGGAGCGATGCCTCTGCTGCAGATTTGGGCTTTCACTGAGTAACAATTAAGCTGCCTCAGCTAAATGTAAAGGCATGTGGAGAAAGCTCTGTGCTGGATGCCAGCAGGAACCACCAAACCAAAGGGTTCCTCTGCAGACACTGAACCAAGGCAGCGCCCAGCACACGACCAGCTCCGAGCCACCCCCAGCACTCCAAAACTCCCCATTTATGTGTGAAGCATAACTAAAAACTCTGTTTTCACCAGCCCAGCGTGATCTGGAAGTGAAGGCACGGGCTTGAAGCTCCTCTGAGCTGAGGCCAGTGGAAATTCAGTGTGGGTTTGACCCCAGGACTGCGCACGCTTTAGTCTCTGCCTGTTTATTGTTACACTCATTAAAACCATCAGGGCTTTTTTGCATCTTAAAAAGTCTTTCCTGACTTCATAAAACATGTGAATGCTTAAGAAGGAATCTGAGTGCAACTGCGTAAGTAGTGACTAACAAGGAGGAATTCTGTGCTGTTCAAAGGGAGTTAATTTGCCTCCAGCCTACCTGGTGCCCTGCTAGCCCTCCCTCAGACATCCTCGCTGATGGCTCATGAGCTCCTCTGCCCACACCAGTGATTTTAAGTTAAAGATTCAAAATTGGCTGTCTCAGACGTGCCC